CTTCCTGGAGCGTTTACTATCAACACGCAGATGAGTAAACACTCGTCTTTGAGTAGCTTTGAGTGTTGCCAGATCTTTCAGAGTGTTTTGGCATTCAGCGTTTTCTTTTATAGATTGTTTACAGGTTATTTTAGATATCCACAGATCTGTGTGATGACATGACTCAAATTAGACAGCGCTGTGTGCTTAGCTTCTTACATTGTTATTAGCGAAAGTAAACATGGCCTTCTGGCACTTTCTGTGACTCTATATTATCAGCCCTGACAGTGACATTCACTCATTTAAACGTTTCTGGTGGTTGTGTAGAGTCACCAGTTTGTCTCTTCCTTATTTACAGTTTAATATTCCAGCCTTAAGTGTTTTAATTTAAGATTATCTTCACAGCTTGTGCTGCAACCCTCATCCTCCCCCCACCACCTCAACACACTTCATCACTTCAGCTTCCATTGCTGCCAGGGTCAATATCCTGGACCTGGATCCTTTAACATTCCATGTACCACCACTGTCATTCGACCAGCTGAAGATGAAAGCCTGATCTGTTCAGACTTCAGAAGCGAGGCAGGGCAGAACCTGGTTAGTGCTGTGATGGGAGACCTCTGGGAACACCACAAACACTTTACAAAGTGTAAAGTGAGTTCGAGTGAGTAATGGTGATGATCGTAGGAGCCAGTGGTGCAGACTGGTTGCCTCCCTTCCCTGGGGGAGAGACGGGGGAGAGGCATGGGAGAGTTAGAAAGCTATTTTGCGTACTTCACATAGACCAGTCCTTCTCAAATAGTGGGGTTCTGACCCCGGGAGAAACTGTGGCTGCTCTGACATCTCAGCGAACGCGCGTGGTCATGTACCGAGCGCGGACCATAGACGCGCCTACAGAACCATACACACGTGCGCGTTACGTGCACATTGCACGTGCGGGTCTTGCCTGGCTGTCCCCATGCCTCTTCGCAGTCTCTCCCCCGTCTCTCCCCATGCCTCTTCGCAGTCTCTCCCCCGTCTCTCCCCATGCCTCTCCGCAGTCTCTCCCCCGTCTCTCCCCTATGCCTCTCTCACGTTTCCGCCAAGTCTCCACACGAAGCGCAGCCAAAACTCACTGAATTAAAGCCCAGGTACCTACATTTTCGCTTGCAGTGAAAATGCATGTCATTTGTGCACAACAGTAAAATGCTGTGACCAAATCAAACAGAACAAACCAAAATAGTCTTGTTTATTTTGTTTTACTTACTTAAGAAAGAGCCCTGTGAGTCATTATTTGACTTTTTGGGCAGAGAGTGGATTTTTTTCAATAGTTTTTTCCACATAGTTAGTGCCACTTAATTGCCAAATCTCTTTTTGACTTATTGTATTGAGAAACATGTGTTAGTCCCACATTATTATTGGTTGTTTTATTACCTTTCCTGGAAGTTGTATATTTTTTTACTGAAGGATTATAATACTACACATCTTTCTATCTGCTAGAGGCCGAGATATCAATCATTCTATAGACGTTGAATTTCAGCATTAAAAAGAAGCAAGTATAACATCTCGATTAAGAACCGCGTGAAAAAAGAGTACCAAACACCATGTCCTGGTACTCATCTGGGTACCTCACTGAAAAAGTTATGTTATTATTACCTCCATGTCTTCTGGGTCAAAACGTCAAAATAATGCAATGTCCAATTGACACGATATTCTTTTGTCTGAGGCTCTCCAGATTGAAATGACACAACCTGACAGCGCTGTAGAGATGAAATGAGTTCGCTCTCAAACCAGACATTTCTTCAGTGTTTTTTTAATAGCAACAACAGATATCAGAAACAGTACAACATTGCACAAACAAAAGTAAAGATTTAAGGGCCACAGCCTGTAAGCTCATATTCTCCAAAATGTTAGTTTAGTTTTCATGGAATACAGTTTTCCCAAAAGTTAACTAGTCTTGAAACTGAGTATTCAAACCAGTAGGAGAGGCTCATGCTATACACTCACCAACCATTCTCTATCTTACATGAGTACAGAGTAGACCGCTCCGAGGCTTCAGGCGCCATTTTAGATCCTAGTCAGCACTTTCCGTCCCTCTTTGTATTTTGTTTAATAAATAATACAGTTTCTTTGTCCCAACACAGTCTGAACAAATCCGACCACATCATGACTTCATCTTATTAGACCTGTTATATGTTGCCATGTGTGAGTCACTTTTTGATGCTTTGGGCTGAGAGCTGATTGGTTGAATGAGGACGTCCCAGTTTTTCAATTTTCTGTCTGATATGATAGAGGCCAAAAAAATACATGGCTGTAAAAACTAGTGACCGAACCAGATTGAAAAAAATGACCTTATTTTATCATGCTGGGATTGAGAGTTTATTATAATATGGTATGTATGTGTGTGTGTGTGTGTGTGTGTGTGTGTGCGTGTGTGTGTGTGTGTGTGTGTGTGTGTGTGTGTGTGTGTGCATGTGTGTGGTTCGGAAATTTGACTGTTAATACAAAGTAAACCAAGTAAGTATAGCCCTTAAGGTCATGGGAGTTAGGGAGCATCCATCATTGCAACGGATACAGTATTTGAGGAGATTGTTATTGGAAAATCCCCTCAGACCCTTCTCATCTCCTTTACTCTCAGAATGAGCTCCTCCCATCCGGCCGCCACCACAGAGTACCAACTAGAAATACGAAAAAATACCTCAACCGGTAAATGAATCGGTCCTTCTCAGTCACAGGACCCAGACTCGGGAAAAAGCTGCCCCTCCTGATTTGCGAGTGCTCACTGATTTTGGCCTTTTAAAAATCGAGGCTCAAAACTAATTTATTCAGAATGGCTGTTTTTTTAACACTCATTAGTGTTAAAAACTTTTTGAATACTTGATTGTGTGATTTTCTTGTAATGGATGTTATGTGATTTTATAGTATAGCACTTTGGTCGGTCGAGTGTTGTAAAGGGCTCTATAAATTTAAATGGATTGATTGATCGGAGAACTCCCAATATCTGTGAACCTCTTGAACGCAGGCCATCGAGCAGAGCGGTGATGGTTTATGTCTGTGTGTGTATATTCAATGCAACCGTGAGTCCAAGACAACATTTCCTTATACGTTTACCATCCATCCATCCATCCATTTTCTTCCGCTTTATCCGTTGCCGGGTCGCGGGGCAGCGGTCTAAGCAGAGACGCCAGACTTCCCTATCCACACACACTTCCTCCAGCTCGTCCGGGGGGACCCCAAGGCGTTCCCAGGCCAGCTGAGAGAAATAGTCCCTCCAGCGTGTCCTAGGTCTTCCGCGGGGCCTCCTCCCGCTCCCCCCTGGACTGCCACCTTAACGTGGTGGGGGAGTTTGAGTACTCGGATGATCCTGGGAGCTATGCTGTCTGGGGCTCCATGCCCCTGGTAGGGCCTCCCATGGCAGACAGGTCTCAGGTGACGAGTCAGACAAAGAGCAGTCCAGAAGACACCATGGACAGCACAAATATGACATCAGTGACGTCGCCCGGCACGGCGCAGCCGGGGCCCCACCCTGGAGCCAGGCCTGGGGTCGGGGCTCGTATGCGAGCGCCTGGTGGCCGGGCCTTAGCCCACGGGGCCCGGCCGGGCTCAGCCCGAAGGGATGACGTGGGCAGTCCCTCCTGTGGACCCACCACCTGCAGAGGGGTCCGTGGTGGCGCGGTGCTGAGAGGACTGCGGCAGTCGAAGGCGGAGACCTCGGCGACCCAGTCCGCACACACAACATATACGTTTACCTTGAATCTTAAATAAGTGAGTACGTTTTTTCCCGTCAAGTCATCATTAAGTGGACCTTCAATGTCAAAAGGCGTTAATAAACCATCCTCTTTTCCAATACTTCTGATAACAGTCGTTTAGCCGAGATAATTTAATTTCAAATTTAGTTTTACAGTCCCTAAATCTTGTTGTTTTCTTTTCAATATCCCCCTTCCACCGTTTTACCAATCAGAAAGTCCATGACCGCGTCGAGCTAATCTCACTGGATTAAGTAACATGTGATGGAAGTACAAAAAAGGTCTCGTTATGATTCTCAAATCATTAATGAAAGAACATGGAATAAAACAAGGATTTCTAGCATTTTGAGAAAAAGGTGTTGGTTAGAGATTTGCTGTCTCTGGGAGAGAAGTTGCAGCACCAACATACTTCTCCTTTACTGTAAGTAAGTGTTTATCTCAATCTTATATTTTTTATACAACATAACAAACAAAAAACAGATACGATGTATCTGAAAAACACGGGAAAAAAAATAAGAATCTTGAAATCTAGGTTTTATAGCCAGAAACTATAGCTACATCTACTTCATGACATATTATTATTTTTTTATTTTATGACACACAAAGGGTCCATATAAAACAAAAGAGACAAAAAAAATAGCTCAATAAATAGCTCTAACTTCTGTGCTTTGAAAGTTGTGTAATCCAGCTGTAATGGTATATAGGAGGATTTTCACAAATTTTAGGAAAGAACCGCCCTCTCCACTCTTTCAATAAAACTCTCTGGTCTCACTTGACGAGCACGTATCATTTCATTCATTTATATGTTTATTCCAAAAACCTTGTAGCGAAGCTTGTCACAGCGCAAATACCTGACGTAACATTTAATTTAACATTTGAATATTTCCGGAGGTAAGATATGCCTCCTTAACTTAAGCAGAAAAATGAGAGAGAGAGAGAGAGCGAGAGAGTGCGAGAGAGAGCGAGAGAGAACGGGAGAGAGAGAGAGAGAGAGATTCTTCAGAAAACCAGCATTAACATTATCACCAGAACAGAATGGTTGACAATTGGGAGGACCAATAGTGTTGCCGATCCACCCGGAAGTAGAAAATCCTCCTTTAACAGGCAAAACATGAGCTGCGTTCTCACATAAAACCAAGTGGCGCTGTAACTTCAGCACATGCAAACCGAGCGCAAGAGCCTACATTCAATCCTTCCTTTTTAACATTATTCTTTCCTTATCAGCGACTTTTCCACACATTGCTCATCAACCCGCGGGATAAAAAAAAAAGAAGAAAAAAAAAGGCCCGTCTCCTAGGATCAATTAGTCACTTCTGGTTGCGTGCAGTTGGCGAGCGTGTTGCAGGAGCCGGGGAGACAAAAGCGGCGCAGTGGTGATGGCGCCTTGGTGAGGTGATACGGTGACACGCTCCTTCCTTCCAGGCTATTAGGCGCTGGGTGTCCAGGGAGAGGGGGGGAGAGGGGGGGCTGACAGGCGAAGGGTGGCCCGCCAGGACACAGGCAGAGCGGGAGAGAGCTGACACACTTTCAGTCCTGCTCTCTACTCCCGCTGTTTTTTGAACTCCATCTAGGTTCTCTCCCTGGAGCTGTACCCGCTCTCTCCTCGCTCTCTTTCTCTTGTTTTCTTAAAAGCAGTCATTTCTATTTTCTCTCCCGCCCTCTCTCTGTCTTTTTATTATTTTCTCAAGAGCAGTCCTTTTCCTCTCTCTCCCTCTCTCTCTCTGTCTTTTTATTATTTTCTCAAGAGCAGTCCTTTTCCGCTCTCTCTCTGTCTCCCTCTCTCTCTGTCTTTTTATTATTTTCTCAAGAGCAGTCCTTTTCCTCTCTCTCCCTCTCTCTCTTTGTCTTTTTATTATTTTCTCAAGAGCAGTCCTTTTCCTCTCTCTCTCTCTCTCTCTGTCTCCCTCTCTCTCTGTCTTTTTATTATTTTCTCAAGAGCAGTCCTTTCTCTCTCCCTCTCTCTGTCTCTCTCTTTCTGTCTTTCTCTCTCTGTCTTTCTCTTATTTTCTTAAAAGCAGTCATTTTCTCTCTCTCTCTCTCTGTCTCCCTCTCTCTCTGTCTTTCTTACTTTCTTAAATACAGTCCTTTCTAGTTTCTCTATCTCTCTCTCTCTGTGTCTTTCTCTTACTTTCTTATTTACAGTCATTTCTAGTTTTTCTCTCTCTCTCATCTCTGGGCGGCACGGTGGCTGAGTGGATAGCACTCTCGCCTCTCAGCAAGAAGGTCCTGGGTTCGAATCCCGGTCGGACCAGGGCCTTTCTTAGTGGAGTTTGCATGTTCTCCCTGTGTCTGCGTAGGTTTCCTCCGGGTACTCCGGTTTCCCCTACCACTAAAAATATGTCCAATAGTTCTGACATGCGCCTCCTGTACTGGTGACCCCGCTCCCATCTCTGTGTGGAGTGAGAGACAAATGCCCATAATTAACAATTGTAAACCGCTTTGAGACTCAGATCTGCAGTGAAAAGGCGGTATATAAATAAAAACTTACTTACTTACTTACTCTCTCTCTGTGTCTTTCTCTTACTTTCTTAAATACAGTCATTTCTACTCTCTCTCTTTTTCTATTCGGTCTCTGAGTTTTTCTACCCTCTCTCGCGCAGCAGATGTCACGTATGGGTCCACATTTTCCTGCTAAAGTTTAGGAGGCCTATCTTACCTCCGTAAATTCTCAAATGTGAAATGAAATGTTAGGTCAGGTATTTTCTGAGAGCGCTGTGACAAGCTCCACCGTGAGGTCAAAAGTCCGACTCTCCGAAGCGTTTGGTCATTACAGCTGCGGTGATGGGAAACTACTCTGAAAGGAAGTCACAAATCAAGAGCATTCCTACATCTATGGCTGCGCTTTCATACCGCTAACCTCTGTTGAAATGGCGAGTCGACCCGGGGCAACATTTGGAAAGATCTCCATGTTGTTTAGACCCGTGTCGGCATTCCCCCCGCAGCAAAGGGGAGAACGATTTAAAATAAAATGAGCCGAAACAAATGTACGACTTTCAAAATAAGACTTCTGATGTCACAGCGCAGTGCAGTCAGGACTCCCGGGAATCGCATTATAATGGATTCCGTGAGATTGTTGAAGCTAAGCAGGACACGGCATGGTTATTACTGTGATGGGAGACCTCTGGGTGGCTGTAAATCGCCAAACTATGGTTGTGTCCTTATAGGCAAGGCACTTGACCCACATTGCTTAGAATGAGTTCGGTGTGTGAATGTGAAAGGATTTGGTTCTCCTACATCAGACAATATAGGTTAAAAGACAAGACGAACCTTCCTAACCTATGTACATACTGGCTGCCTCACTTCTGTCAGTGTGCCTCAGGGCAGCTGTGGCGACAGAGGTTTATCACCACCATAAAAGGAGTGAATATTTCTGAGCTCTATTTAAAACTGATGCATTAATCATTATTAGATAGATACTGTAGATAGACAGATAGATAGAAAGAGACTTAATTGATCCGTGTTGGAGAAATTCACGTGTCCAGTGTTCATTATTACTAAATATAAACATTTTCTGGACATATATTTTACGAGGACAACTATATGAAGAAAAGCATTTGCAAAAGCTCTCCCTTTAACGATAGGAACTTCTCTCTAATTACTGTATTAGCTTGTTTCATTGTCTTAATGCATTGGTATAGTCCTTGAATAATGTCCTTTTTGTGACTTGTGTGTAGTTTGCTAACCTTCACCTGACCCACATGTAAGCGCTAAGCTATAAAACAGTTTGGGTTTTTTATTGCCGTCTAAAGAGAGCTCATAAATCACTGAGCTGCATATCTGGCATTAAGGAGACCGGTGAGGTGCGGACACGGGGCTGACACTGACATCGGAAGTGTGAAAGACAGAGAGAAAGAAAACTGACATATTTTTCGCCTGTCTGATGCCAGCGCTTTACAAATCTGTGACACACTCCCCGTGTCACATTCGGACAAAATATGGTGAACTTGACTTGACATTTGTAGTTTGTTTAGTAAAATACAACTTGACAAGACTTTTTTTTTTTGAGGCAAGAGACAAGGCAGAGAGAGATCTGACTGAATTATGAAAGTGCACATTAATTTTTTTTGTTACTAAAAGTGCACATACAAACAAAACATGCTTTCTTCTTCATTTTCCATCGGCACAGCTCACACTCCCATGCCTCATCTCGGAGTCAGGCAGCTCCACCAAACTCTCTTCTGGTTGTTTGGACCAAATTGCCCGTTTTTAAGTCAAGAATGTTGTTGCATAGATCACAAAGTTGATGTAGAAAAACGTTGCATTTTTATTGCTGATAGATGTGCAGCGAGCAAGTTTCAGAAAGTCTCCAAAGTATCATATTAGAAATTCCATCTATTGGTCCTTGGGTTTGCTGGGCATAGAAAACCGCTGTATGTTCCAAAACCATACTCGATTCAGAGGGATTATCAAACAGGTCGGACGAGTTCTAGTCTCGTCTGCACCCTGCGGAGAAGCAGCTCAGAACTCCGGACGTTTGAACGCTTTCAAAGGCATCTCATAACTTTCTCTGATTACGTTGTAACTGTAATTGTAAAAACCGCAACATGAGTATAATACATATGTCCTGCTCCACCCAGCGAGCGGATGGTCCACCTCTGCTGCTGTGACCTAAAGAGCTGTTGCATTTTATTATTATCACTATTGTTAGCTTTTTAGAATGATGAAGTGTGGATGGATGTGTTTTTGCTGCTACTGGACACCTGAATTTCTCCTACGGGGATCAATAAAGTGTCTATCTATCAATATATATTGTAAGCACAAAAGTAAGTTGGCAAATGTAATCACACAACATCATGTTTATTTTGGGCATTTCATTTTAACACAAGCTCAGCCGCTGCAGAAGAAAAAAAAAAAATTGAATTTCCGCAGTGCTCCTAAAAGCACCAATTATTCTTGTTCATTTATTTTTTATTTTTTGCAACAGAACAAGCAAACAAGCGCAGCAAAAGATTGTGTAATGATCTCAAACAACTAAAGTGAGTACCCTAAACTAAAATTTCTAATACAAGTCTGCCTATTCCCGGTGCTCTTAAATGCATCTCTGCCCATTGTCTCATTCTAATCCGATTGATGTACTATATATATTCAGCTCAACCGTGCTAGAGTCGACAAGCACCAGCACCTCCGAATGGACAGATTTTTCACAATTGCTGCTCACAACATAAGATAAGATAAGCTTTATGGATCTCACTATTGAGAAATGTGCATGTCACATTTGGCATGGATAGAATTAGGGTGTGCAAAAAGACAGAAAGTGTGCAAACATGTTAAAAATATCTCTTTTGTGCCAGATATATTACGTACAATAAAATAAAAGTGACTATAGCAGTGCAAGTTTTTCAGTCCTTCCTCGTTTTTTGTGTGTGTTTTGGAAAGCATGTCGTTTTGGTGAAGAGAATTCTATTTTCACTTGTGCTTTGTAAACGTAGTCACTGACCTTTTTATTGTTTTTACAGACCCCCATTGCAGGAGTAAGTGACGCAGCAGGACACAGCACCAGCGGCAAACTCATGCAGCTATTTTAGAATCTCATTTTAGTTGTTTGTTTGTCTGAGGTCAAGGGCAGAGATGAGTCTATCGGTGACGTCTCAAAAAACTTTTTACATGACACCTTCATTGGGGACTTTGTTTACTGCCAGACAGCGGGACGGTTACCATGTATCTCAACGGGAGGCTGTGGCGTGCTCAAAAAGGTGAACGTCATGGATTGTATTGGGCACAGAACACTCAAAATTGAAATTGCATTTTCTCCAGAAACTCAATTTTTATAACCCTGGCTGAGGATGGATTCTTTTGCCTTTGCTGTATAATACTGTTTGTTTCTGGAATTACAATTGCTGCCTCTTAGGGGAAACAGAACTCAAGTAAATTGGCGACTGTGTGTATTTTATGTCCACAATTTTTACATTAAAGTGATAGTCTGTAACTCTAAATGAATTACACATTTTAAGAATTGCATTAAATTGACCTCCTGGCCTTAAATGTTGATATAAAATAAGTCATTTTATTAATTCTACTATTACGGGTAAGTCCCGCCTTCCCTTCTCTTAGGAATAGCTCGATGCCGTCCACGTTAACCAACCAAGTGATGCCAAGGGCTGTCAATCATCAGCGCTGATGCTCGAAGCTGCGCATGCTCAGTTGTTTGTTTTCACGGAGCCTCCAATTCAAGCCTCCATTAGGCTCTGGAACTACATGAAAACTGAACAAAGAATTCTGAACATCCGCGCTGAGTTACCCATTTATATACTGATCCTATATCCATAATCATTTATATACTGAACCTATATCCATAATCATTTATATACTGAACCTATATCCATAATCATTTATATACTGATCCTATATCCATCTTCATTTATATACTGAACCTATATCCATAATCATTTATATACTGATCCTATATCCATATTCATTTATATACTGAACCTATATCCATAATCATTTATATACTGAACCTATATCCA